ATAATAAAAAATCTCATGTACAATTATTAAAAACCCTTTGTGTTAAGGAGAAATAGATAAAATTAACCCTTAAACTTGTTAATTTCCGTTGTTATAAAAAAGGTACAAAGCGAGAAATCAATTTTTGCAAAGTTGAGTAGATATGTAATGTCAAGTGTATAAACTTTTAGATTGGACAGTTTTGATCTAGCTTTTGGAATACGCAAACATGTGAAAATATGAGATCTTCTTTCTAATCTTATAATCTAGTTTATATTCACAATCTTTATAATATGCCTTCACAAAGTACGTATTTGCTCTTTATTCAGTCAAAAATTAATCAACTTACAAAGTGTATTTAGCTTATGTTTTAAGCTCTGCTGTATAATCATGACTAATCTGACCAAGCAGATTAATTTATTCATTAATTGCTTAATTAACTTTTCATGATAAGTTAAACCACATTTTTAATTATCAAAATTAATTAAAGTATAAACAAAATGTCTCACTAAAATATACTTTTTTTTTTTTTTTTATCGAGAGTGTCCGAACCAACTTACGCGCACTTTAACTAATTTCTCAGGTTCCTGAAACTATCGACTGGATAAGAGCTCTAGCATCCACTGACTACACCTATTAGCACCCAAAGAAGGACTCAAACTTAAGACTCCTTAAGTAATACACCTAATAATCCTTGGGGGCGTTTGGTTGGGGGTTAAGTTGGATTACTGGGGTAATGTCATCTTATATTACTTGATTACCATGTTTAGTTGTCAAGTAATATAAAATACCGGTAATCTTCAAATACCAATAGTAATTACTATTGGTAATATCTGAGGTAATCTGATTACCTCCATTTTCTTAGGTATTCTGAGATTACCAAAGTTATCTTTTTTTATTACAATTTTATCTCTTATTAATAAAAATTTTGGACAATAATACCCCTACTTTAAAACATATTTACATTAATATCTTATTTCAATTTTACCCTTGTTTAATTAAAATTTTGGACAATAATGCCCTTATATTTAAAATTATTTACAGATCACCACTACCACCCCGCCACCACCACCACTGTCACCCAGCCACCACCGCCGATAGTAAGCCAACCACCATGAACCACCGCCGGAAATTCGTCAGAATCCCTAAAAAAGAAGAAAATTCTCTGGGAGGCTTCGCTATGGCCGTTTCCGGCCATATTGATGGCCGAAAACGGCCATATTAGACCGCTAACGGTTAGATCCCTGGCCATTAACGGCCAGGTCTGCACCAGATCTGGCCGTTAACGGCCAGGTCCAGATCTGGCCTGATATGGCCGTTTCCGGCCATCAATATGGCCGGAAACGGCCATATCAAAGCCTCCCGGAGCCTCCTACAGAATTTTCTTCTTTTTTAGGGACTTCGGCGATTTTCCCGCGGTGGTTCGCGGTGGCGGCAGGAGATGGGGGTGATTTTCTCATAAATTAAAGTTTATATAAGCGGGAGTGTTTTAGCTAAATTTGAAATATTGGGGGTTAAAAGAAATTATTCAAAAATTAATAATAAAAATAATATTATATTAATATTTAAAAGGAGGACAATTTAGTAATTTAAATAACATACCCACCAATTTATTCCTCATAACCAAACATATTAATATAACATACTCACCAATTAACCAAACATATTTTCTTAAAGATTCCTAATAATCTTCCAAGGTAATCTATATTTCCAGTAATCCAACATTCCCAGTAATCTAACATTCTTGAACCAAACGTCGCTTTATAGAATTGCTCGATCACCCAAAAGTAGTTAACTAAAATATACTTAAATCAATCGGCTTTACATATATTGTCATTTATTTTTCTTTGAGAATTGATACGCCCTAAAACCCATTTTTTTTTTTCATATACTATATTGTTGCTTAAACACTGTAATTTTTTTTATGAAATTAACATTTTGCTATTAATTATTATTATTAGTGTTATTACAATATCTAAGTTGGCAAAAAATATTCTTCTACGTTGCGTGTTCTTAAATTTTGCCATTAGTTGTTGAGGCATCATTGGTACATGAGGTATTTAATTATTTATCAAATAACCATGGCCCTCAATTAGCATTGAGCAGTTGAGTTTACTGTTAACATAATTACAAGTTTATAGAAATTTATCTTCTCTGATCTCTAGGTGAGAAATTTTATTAATTAGTAATTATAAGATTAGATTACAGAAATTGGAGTTCATTAATTTTTTAAGAAGGAAGGTTCTAAAAGACTTCCAAGAACAACCCTGAAAAATATCCTGAGGCCTACTTTCGTCGGATTCAATCTGAATCACAAATGTGATTATTTATTTATTTAGATTTGGGTTTAAATTTCTTTCCAAATTAATTGAACTTGGTACACTTTATGTTTGGTCATATTCATGTCTACCATATAGACCGAAAATTATTATTATTTATTTCTATAAGTTGATCCTCTAAATCAAGTGAATCTTAATTATTATTTTTTATAAATTGGACAAGTACCATGAACATGCATGGTCCATTAATCCTTCTATGGATACTAATATTAATTACAGTTTTTTTCACAATTATATTATCAACCATGAAGGCTATTTTCACAAACATTTCATTCCATTAATTCTGACTTTTGACAACCCAACTTTGTTTATTTTATTTTATCATCAGAGGTATCCGATCTAGCTTACGCGTACTTCAACTAATCTTTCGAGACCTTGAAACTATTGACTAGGTAAGAACCTTAATGGTTATCCCTATTAGTGTCTAGAGGAACTTAAACTTCAATCCTCTTTGAGTTTTTCCTTAATTGGAGCCGAGTTTTATGTACATTTCTAAAAGTATATTCAGAAATTTCTATTCAAAAAAATTTCTCTTATGTTATATACTGTTATTATAATTTGATTATAAATGAATGATATATCAATAACAGGTTTTTTTTTATTATTATTATTATTTTTTTTTCAAGTTAGATCGCTTAAAATGTTTAGAAAGTATGAAAAACCCTTAGAGTGTGTTTGGTTTAAAAAATATTGTATTACAAAGAATATTATATTTATGGAAAGATAGATTACCTTGAAGATTACTAGTAATGTTTAGGGAAAAGTGTTTAGTTGGTTGGAATAAATTGGTGGGTATCTTATGTAAATTATTAAATTGTCCACATTTTTAAATATCAATATAATATTACTTTTATTATTATTTTTTGAATAATTTCTTTTAACCACCTACATTTCAGATTTAGCTAAAACACCCTAGCAACAAAAAAAATTTAAAACTTAACAAAAACACCCCCACCCACCCCAAGCCACTATCGGAGATTTGCCACCGCTGCCAGCAGCAATGACAGTGGAGATATAGCCATGAAATGACGGTCGTTTCATAGCCACATCTGGTTGTTTTCGGCCATCGATCTGAAATGGCCCTAGCGGCGCACGATTGTCTAGATCTGGTCGGTTGTGCGCCATTCCGTTGTCGTCGCTGGTGGTGGTTGCTGGCGGCTGGCAGTGGTGAGCAGATTCGGTCACCACCCTTGGGTAATTTTTTTAAAATTCTAGAGGTATTTATATCCTAAAAACTTTGTATATAAGGATAAAATAGTCAATTAGTATTTTTGTAAATTGTTTTTAAAACAAAGACATTATTGTCCTAACATTTTATTAATAAGGGATAAACTTGTAACAAAAATAGTATTACCAAGTAATGTTAAAATATCTAAGAAAATAGAGGTATTCAGATTACCTTTTATATTACCAACAATAACTATTATTAGTTTTGGAAGATTAATTGTCAGAATCTTATATTATGTGACAATCAAACGTAATAATCAAGTAATATAAGATGACATTATCTTACTAATCCCCACCCATCAAACACATCCTTAGTAATTATCAAAAACTCTTCTGAAAAATATAAAACAACCATCACAAATTTATTAAAAACCCTCTTAAAAGAAAGTACGAAGTCTTTAATATTTTCTAAATAAAGAGAATGCGTTTTGTTTTCAGCAAATATCACTGTAGAAAAATAAAATAAACACATAAATATTATGTTAAATAATATGATACAGTAAATGACTCCATAGGATTCTTGTTTATGGTATCTTAAAGTTATTAGCTAATTTGTACTCAACCCAATTGACTTTTATTGTTGTAGCCTTATAGGTAGCTAGCGAGGTGACTTAATTTTACCAAACTAATTTTATTTCTTATTAACTTATAAATACAGATTGAGGGTTGACAAAATTTTATTTCTTGGCAATTAATGTCAGTAAAAATATCAGGCGCAGCCTGGAAAACTGTTGGTGAACAAATAAATAAAATATAGATTATATATCGACTGGTTTGCATCTTCATGTTCTTATACAGAAGAACTATCGAAAGAGACAAAAGCTCACTACATTTAAAAGCTCATGACATTGCACATTGCCTCATTTTCTGCCCCATGACAGTAATCACAAATGACAAAATTAATCTTAATCCTCTCTCTCTCTTTCTCTGTCACAGTCTTTAATACAGAAAAATTATTCAATTTTATAAGTCCCAAAAGCCGTGTCAATTACTCAACAAATAAAACATGTCAAACTGAATACTTATTGATCAACCAATCTTAACAAACAACTTATAAAATAATTAAGAAATGAGATCATAATCTTGTTTACTTTTCTTACGTATAATTAATTAACTATTACTCAACTAATATCTCCCTGTCAATCTCACTAACCCAGTAAAGATATGACCAGAAAACCACAATCAAATCTCTGAGTAAATCAACAAACTTTAATAGATGCAATTACAGAACAATAAATCATACAAATTTCATAAAAATTGGCAAAAAAAAGAAAAAAAAAAAAAACCACATGTTTCACAACAATTCAGATCCACACCACTGATCCTGAAATGGCTATTGGATCTATTTCAACGTGTAATAGATACAGAAATCAAGACCCTTTTGAGCATTACAATTGAATTAATATGCACTAATTTTCATCAAGATGATGAATTACTATTCTTTCTCTATATTTTTCATTTACATGAAGTGATAATATTATTAGTATCATAGCAGCTTCTCTTCATGGAAGAAGACCTAATATCTTGAACCTCGAAACTGGATTTTAAAAACGTTTCTTCTTCTTCACGATTCTTGATCTCGAAGAACTCCAGCTCCACCAGCTTCCTTTTGCATGAAACGTTTCTTGTCTTCGGCTTTCGCGGCGCCGGCGGACAGCAAAGCATTGAAGGAATCTTGTGTTGTTCAGATGTTGGTGTCCGGCATTCTTCGTCGCAGTTAAAAACATTATCCTTTTCTTCTGTTGTATTGGAAGAAGAGAACTGCTTAATCGGAGACAATCGAATTCTGGGAAAATCTAGAATTCTTTCTAGATCGGTAGACATGGTTTTTGCAGTGAGAGAAAGAAAATAAAAGGATAGAAACTGGAGTAAAAATAATTATAGATATGTAAGAGAAAATTGAAGAAGAAGAATGGGGGGCGCTGGCGTGAGAGGGAAGGTGAGAAAGCGAAAGAGAGAGAAGAGGGTGGTTGGATTCTTTTATTCTTGAACAAGTATAAGTTTTAAGTTATATAATAAAATCGTCTTGGGGAAATGACTTGTTGGACTAGAAGGGTTAAAAATTGTGAAGAGAGAAATAGCTTTTTTTGTGTAAACAGCTTTCCATTTTAGCACTTATTGCTGAGTTGGGAGGTGAGACTTTTAGCTTATCATCTCACGTTCTTTAAGCAGTTTCTGATGCCAAAGCTTTTATTCTAACTGTTCACATTTCAAGATCTGCCTGTGAATTGTAATAATAATATGGTTTTACCAAAATTCAACTCTAAACATGGTAGAAAAATAATTATTTAATTACCAAGAACAAACAAGAAACCAACATTGTATTCCTTATCGTCCCTCAAATCACAGTACAACATATAAAGAAAATATTCTCCATTTTGGATCCAAGTTACATTACAAACCAAATTGAGAGAGAAGAATAATATTGTAAAAGAATGAATCAACCATTGAATGTAGTTGGAAAAATATTTTCATGAGTCTGAAATTAACCTAAAGCTCAGTCAAAATGGTAAACGTGTGATTGCTAATTACATACATATTATTCATGATTCATGATCATAAACCATACAAACTATATAATAAAACGTAATTGAAACAAAATAATAATAATAATAATAATAATAGAAAGTGTAAATATAATGTTACTACGCAGGCTTATAATAATTAAGCTCTCTCCTTCATCATGTACACTTGCACCTCTTCTTCGCAATCATCCGTCTCCTTGCAACAAGCTCGAAATTGGATCGGAAGAATTCATCAATTTCTTCGCGTTTCACCGTCTCAACGAACTGATTAACATCAAACAACTTTCTCTTGCAGGAAATACTGCTCCTCTTGGTAGGTTTTCTTGGCGCCGGTGGACAAATTAAGGTGATAGGAATCTTGTTTTCATCGGATGTTGGCGTATGACACTCGAATTCTTCACCACGATCACCTGCGTCTGCGGCACCAGTTGACATATTACCCACTTCACCTACTTGATTTTGTTCAGGGTTCCGATCTTCAATCTTGATTGATGTCAATCCGATTCGATGACCAAGATTAGTGGTCATGGGGAATTATATATTAGAGATTGAGATGAGGTTGGAGAAGAAGGAGTGTGTGTGGTATAAATATGAGAAGGGAAGGCGTGCAGGGGAAGATTTTAATGGAGATAAAAAAGAGAGATGGATGGATAGTTAAAATGAGTCGTTGGATTCTTTTATTCTTTTCTGTGAGTAATCTTCAAAGGGAAAATGACATGGTGGTGGAGGTGGTGCAGGTGGTACTGGCAATGAAACCTTCTTTCTTATTTTAACTCTTTTTCACTTTTGTTTGTTTTGGCAATGAATTCAATTGAATTGATTTCTTTGGCTTTTAGTTGACAGTAATTAAGCTGCAGCTGGAGCTTAAAAGATTTCTAGCTCAGCTTATTAATGGAGTTACTGTTAGTTTTGCCTGATGATTCTTACCCCATAATAATATTAATAGTTTGTTCAATGCTAAATATTTTGAAGAAAATATTAAAAATAAATAAATAAATAGAAAATGTTTCTTAATAATTATATTCTTGTGATATAAGAAATTCAAAGAAGGAAACTAAATAAATCTTCCAACATAACGTAAAGCAAATAAATATCTAATACTTAATTATTTCTCCTAAAATAGAAACATAAGATAAAGTTATTCAAAGTAATATCAATATGATTTTATATTATAAAGTTATAATTTTTAATTGCAAATTTTTTAATTTAGTATAAAATAAAATATATCCAAAACTATACTAATTACATGTTATTGACTCCAATTAATGCACATTATTTGTACTAATTATGCATTACATTACAGAAGTTTCTTTCTTTTTCGGGTTTCGAACATAAATATTCACATATACTCTTAATTAATTAATTTAATTTTACTCATTATATATTCTCTCCGAAATAAGAAAAAACCTTGGATAAAGCAATGTATTTCCAGTATATGTGATGTATTTATTACACCCACCTAATATATTAACTGTAATTATGATTGATAATTAAGGAAGGTAATTAAGTTTTTGTCCTCAAAGCTTAATTAATTGAATAATATTATGATAAAAAGAACAGCAGGCATGAACACAGCCACATGTCATGGTGCTTTCTCCTCCATGTTTGAGAGTCCACTGGACACAGAGAATATTTAATTCTCCTTTTCCACCATCTCTCCCTTTTGCTTTTCCTGATTCACATGTGGATCATGAAACAACTACGACAACGTATTACTCAAGTTCCATCCAAAAGGTGGTAACTATTTTTACAATATAATTCTTCAAAAACACCAAGTAAAGTTATTTGTCGCAGTTAATCTATATATTCAATAAATTTTTATTATATGGTCTGTAATACGTTTGACCTTGTGTTGAGTTAATCAAATTCAACGAAGCCAAAACCCAGCACGTCGAGGGCATATTTTATAATGAAATAAATTTATATTGAATTGATTGATCAAAGTATATATTATTATTATTATTATTTTGTTGGGTTTCTAATTTGATGCATAGGATGCCATTTGAATAGTGTAATCTAAAATCTAGCAGATTGAGATGGGTATTTAAAATTTGTGGAAGAAGATGGATTGGGTTTACCAAATACCTACTCAAATATATTGTTAAATGAATCTTTCCACGTGAAGTGTCTGCTTAGCCATACCGCCTGTTTGCTTTATTTTATTTCTTTTCGTTAGATATAAATCGTTTTCTCAACCATTTGTTCAAAGGCAAAAATTCATATTTAATTTTGCTACGACATGAAAATCTATTATACTGATCTGATAACATTATTAAATCAATATAGTTCTCGATCTAGATACTAGTCTAATAACATTGTTAAATCAATATTTTTATCAATCCTCACACCAATATAATGACATTGTTAAATCGAAATTATTGTTGATCCCAACACTACTGCAATAACATTGTTACATCGATATAATCCTCCATCCAAAGAGTGGTCACAAATATTAACTTTAGAAAATGATATTATACCGCCCATGATGTGTAAGAAATACAATGATGTTTCCTCAACCTTTTTTCTTCAAAGTAAAACAACAAAAATATATTTTGTATCTTTACAACATAAAAATCTACCATACTAATTTGATACTATTATTTAATCAATGTAGTCATCAATCTCAACATCAATATGATAACATTATTAAATCGATATAGCCATCAATTTCAACACCAATTTGATAACATTATTAAATCGATATAGTCATCAATCTCAATACTAATTAATCAGATAACATTCTTAAATCGATACAATCATCCATTCCATCACTAATATAATAACATTGTAATATGAATATATAGTCCTCAACCCGAAGCGTACTCCCAAAATTTAGTTTCGAAAATTGATTTTACACCGGCCAGGCATGTAAGAAATAGATATAATGATGTTACTACTTAAATAAATGGATTATTGTACATACTTGGTTTTCTTCAAGGTTAATTAGTTTAATAAAAGATTGATCCATTTGGTTTAATATTATTTTATATTTCAATTGTTTTTAATTAATTAGTTAAGTTAGAAAGAAGAAGTAATTAAATTAAGTAATAAAAATAAAAATAAAATGTAAATGAAATTGTAATTAATTAACACTAACATTGGGATTGGGTTAGTCAGGGAGATTCTATTCTATCCCAAAACTTCATTATCATTAAGTGTGCAATGATTTCATGATAATTTGTGCCGGAAATCTTAACTGAAGTCAATGTAAATTATATTTTGATTAATTAATTTTAAGCTTGTGAAGCCAGACATTCCTTTACTTGTTAACCCACCACTTTATTGTATTCTCCATCTCCATCTCTATCTTGTTTCTTGTTTCACCTTTTCTTCTTACAATATTATTCCCTCTCTCTTTCCACACTATAAATAATTCAGAAGATTTCGTAACAAGCTACCTATTTTTCCGTTTACTGAACAAAGAAACTATGTATTAAAGGGAGTCTCAAAAAAGTTTTTTTTTTTTTTTTTAATGATTGGGGGTGTCTTGGCTAGTTTACGCTTACCTCATCTTATCTCTTAGAACCCTTAAATTATCGGTTGGATAATAGTTTTAGTGATTACCCTTATTAGCATCCGATTATTGACTTAAACTCATTATTTCTTTAGTAATACATTCAAGAGTCCCTATCAAACTATTTGATCACTTAAAGATAATTAGTCTAAAAAAGTTTCAAGTAAATTACATTATATATATAATTTTGGTCATGGTTTTACAAATATTTTGAAATTTTGTATATGAAAATGGGAATTTCACTGTCTTAAAAATCATTCTCTAATTCGGCCCCCATGTTTTTTAAACTTTCATTTTATTCTCCCTTAAATATAATTTTTTTAAGTAAAATTATTTTGTCTCCCCCAAACATTGATTTCTAGTTCAGCCACTGCATAAGGGGTGAATCTAAATCTGGTAGGAGTAAACCACAGACTTGACGGTTCAGGCAACCTCTCATGGATATTTTATAAAAAGGTGTCTTACGAAAGCCGATAATTAGTGCAAATTCTTTGATAGGTTTGGAGTTGTCTTTTTCATACTATTTGATCGCTGTTTTTCAGTAAATTAAGCCACAAATTAACATATAGAACCAAAAAAATGTTATCACATGAAGTTACAAATTACGTTGAAGACAAATTACGTTAAACATATTAATGTTGTAGCTTTTGTTTTGTGGCTTAAAATCAATTGGTCTCGCCAGCTGTATCATCGGAATATTGATTTGATTTTTAGGAAAAACTAGTCTTCCTAAACTTATACTCAACCTTAATTTATAGAACATTTTCCCATGGTTTTCAAATTAAGCTTAATAATTAACATAATATATTGAGGTTCAACCATAATATGTATATATATATATTTTTTAATTTTATTTAAAATTAAAACCAAAAAAAAAAAACCCAATTGTTTAGTTGAATTTTTAAAATATGAGAATAGAGTTGAAAATAGATATGTTTTGAAGAAAAAAAAAAAATTAAATATATAGAGACAGCATGATGAAGATACAAACCTAATATTTATCATGAATAGGATTATAACATGTGACATGTGGGATCATTAATTTAGAATGGTAGGAGCTTTGTGTTGTCGTTTTATCGAGAAACGACATTATTAATCATAAAGACAGAAAAACAAATGCACTATCAAAAATGCCCTATCAAAAATGCCCTTATGCCCACAATTACACAATTTTTTTTTTAATATAATAAGTAATTAAAATTCTTAACTTACTACAATCGTTAGATATATGATTACAGATAATTCTCATTTGTATATATAATTTATCAACAAATTAAATTAATATTTAGGTAAGTTTCAAGCGTTTCAAAGAAATTAACCCTGAAAATTCAAAGATGGCACATATTTTAGAATCAAACAGAGAAATTTTTTACTAGAATTATAAAATACATTGATATTGTAGTATAATTCATTAATATCGAAGTGGATTAACTAGCTCTAGGTGATCGAGTGGTTCGATAGTGACTCTTAGGTGTATTACTTAAAATGTCCTGAATTCGAGTTCTTCCTCGGATTCTAATAGGGGTAGTAATTAGAACTCTTACATTGTCAGTAGTTTCAGGGTCTCTGAGGATTAATTGATGTGTGCGTAAACTGACCTGGATGCTCCGAGTCATAAAAAAAAAAATTATATATATATATATATACATATCAAAGTGGGTTGATTAAAAAATTAATTAAGTGTGAAATTATCAACTGTAGGCAAGAGTTGAATTATGTGGTGATAAGTAATAATGTGATACAATGATGGTAAATAGCATAATTGTTTCTTAAGAAATGAATCAAACTGAGAATTCTAAGAAAACATCATCACATTGGGAATTTTAATGAAATTGATGGTGTTATATATGATTAATTTAACTAAAAGTGATAGAGGCTTTCTAGTTTTGTAATTATTATTCATGGAATTAAATTAAAGAATGACAAAGGATTGATGGCACAATCTAACTAACCTTTTAGGGTTTAATTTTAATTTGCAGTGATTTTCAAATAAATTATAAATCTGAAAAAAGGAATTATAAAACTATAATAAAGTTGTTGAAAATTAATAAATAAAATTACCTACTCTCTCTTACAAGTTTAAAGGATGAATATGCAGTTCTTGAAAAGTTGAGTAATTTGTATGTTTGTTAGCTCTTAAATGGAATTAAATCATCTACCTTAAGAATAAATGGTTGAACCTTGCCTACTGAAATTACTTAAGCAATAACTATTATCACCTAAAACCAAATTAAAGCATTTCGGAACCTTTAATATCTGGGTTGGAATTAGGTTCCTTCACAAAATTTTCAATTCAATTTTTGGTTTCCAGGATGAAATTTGCATAATCTATTCATGGAGATTAATGGTGGAGGGTCCTGGTCTGTAAGCAGTGGAGTGCAGAATCCAGAAAAATTACGGAAACTGACAATAATAAACAGGTGGGTGGAGAAGATGGGACGATTAAGTTTTAAATTGGGAAGTGGTTTTTCTTCTTCAGAGTTGACACCATCAACAACTCTCAGCATTAAACATTATTGCATTGAAAATTATAGTTGCAGTAAAATCTTGAATCATGGTATAGTATTTATAATAGAAAAATGCTAGCCTTACTGACTTTCCCTACTCATTTCTCTTACTCACCTTTGTTAAAATGACATATAATACTCGTACTATACTTATGGTACCCTTACTATGCTTTATATTTATAAAAGTGAGTAAGAGAAACGAATGAGAGAACAAATAAGACTAGCATTACTATTCATAATAAAAACCTTGATCATCCATGTTTCTTCATAATATTATTATTTATAATTTTGTTTATCAATTTATGCAACATTTGTATAAAAATGTTACAAGTATGGTTTACTTGTGTAATTAAAAGCATAATTGAGTTACCTATATCTCAAATTTATATTACAATAATTTATAATTAAATGTGCTTGATAAAAGAATTAACATAATTGTGGGAAATCTAATTTTGTTTGTGGACCACTATTGAATGGTCTAATGAGAAAAGAGCAAAAGAAGATCTAACATAGTCTTCTAAGTTCGAGTCACCTTGATGATAAAAGAACAAACATAGTCTTTCAAGTAAAAGGATCTAACATTTGAGCCCTTTTGATGATAAAAGAGTAAGAGGAGGATCTGACATATCTCCCAAGTTCGAGTCTCCACAATTACTAATAAGGGTGTCCACTAGAGTTGAATAACTTACTCAAAACTAACTCAGATTATCTCCATTATTAAGCCTTATGAACACTGAATAAACTAACTAATTAACTCATGCAAAGTCTGAGCATGGGGTACATATTTCAGATTGTAAAATAAATATTGAAATGTAATTAACCACACTCTTCAACACTAGAAAAGAAATAAATAACAAGTGTTCTACAAGATTCATCCACTCCCAGAAACATTTTCAGTAACAAAATAACACAACCTATCCAAGATTTTCATTCAGACCAAAATTTTATGAAGGCATTGATGAAAGATTTGAAAGCAACCAAAATTGGGTTAGTTTCTCTTGCAATAGAATTTCTTGATGCTTCATCCCATGATTCACTGCCAAACCAAAATTAATAATAAAAAAAGGGTAAAAATTATGAAGAAAAACAGAATTAGAGTCGATTTGCAACCCAGTTTTTATGGAGTTCTAAGATAAACTTACATTCTAATTCTGTCTAATTTTGGATTGCTTCCTTTCTCCAAACTCTCTTTACATTGAACATCAGCTTTATTTTCAAACACAATTCCTTTCGGGGTTCTTGATTCGACCCTGCTGCTGCTGTAAGTGCCACTGGGAATCTTGCCATTTGCAGCATTTATTTCCTGCAAAAAAGCACATTTGGAATAGTTTCCGGCAAAATTCTACTCACAACACTTCTACATTATTCCGTTTTGAACAAATATCCGTCTTAATTGAGGTGACCACCAGATACACCTTAATTATTGTCTACGTGACATACATGACTTTAAGTATTGAACCATGACAATGACTTAACAGAGAGGTGGATATCCAAAAATTTGATACAGTGATAAGCAAAAGCTGTGCTCTAACACATTGAATATGACACGCCCAATAAACACTAATATGTATCAACAACCTTGTTACATCTCATTATTTTTCTAATTCAAAAATAACGGAACCTAGATGGAAGAAGTAAATATAAAAATGTTAGTCATTGATAACCCGTGTAATAATATACAAGTGTAGGAAAGGAATACCATTTCATGTAAAAGTATTATAGGTTTCTCATGCCCCAAAGCAACATATTCCTATGCAGCTGATCGCTTAATTTAAATTCAATTGACAATGAAACTAACAGCCAAGGTTTTCAAATTCATGTCAAGAGCAGGGTATACAAACAAAATGAGCTGCAAAGCTTACTGATAGGAACCCACTCCAATAACTCAACAATTTTGGCTGGGCCATGGGTCTTTCTTGGGCTTGGGTAGAACTCTCCTTGGAAAACCGGCTTGCCAAGGGAGGGTGCCCAAACCTTTATAACCCACATGCCTACCATTTTCCCTTTCAATGTGGGATCCTAACAAGGGAGGGTGCCCAAGCCTTTATAACCCACATGCCCACCATTTTCCCTTTCGATGTGGGATCCTAACACTTACAGACTTGATTGTCCACAAATACAAACCAAATGATTTTTAAGATACTCACCTTAGTGTCATCAATCCGTTGGCTTTTTTCATGCATCCCAGATGTTAAAACATCATTATCAGAAACTTCAACCTCAACTTCTTTGTCGACCAGAGTATTAGGTACAGTGCCTCCTGTAGTAGAGAAATTTGAGCTTTTCACTTGTGAGTCTGCAGAATTTTCTATCATTTCCTTGTCCACCAAATCGGAATTTTTATCTGAAACTATACCTGCAGGGCTCTCCCCTTTTCTCTCCGAGGAATTTATTTGATCTAATGGAGCACTGCCATTGCCGGAATCCAAGTCTAACTTTTCAATTTCATTTTCCTCCAAAGTTTCAGTTAAATTCTCCACATCAGATCTTTCACCGGAGCTTTCAGCAGTCTTAGGGACAGACCTTAGAGGAAACGTCTCTACCACTACTTCGGCTGAGATGGGAGTTACTGTAGCTCTAGCAGCTGCCAATTTTTCAACTCCTTCCTCTACTTCTAATGGTTTACTAGTTTGCAACTCTTCATATGTCCTTCTAGCAGATTCTTCAACTTCCATAACTACCTGGCTCCCATTGTTAAGCCTTTGCTTTTCATGCTCACTGCAGAGCCCATCAGAAATTGCAACTGGTTCTTTGCTTACACCCTGGTCATGGTTGGGTATGAAATGACTTCCATTTGATGTTTGCAATTCTTCAGATATCCTTTTAGCAGATTCTTCAATTTCCATAACTACCTGGCCCCTATTGAGGACTCCCTCATTCTCAAACTTTTGCTTTTCATGCTCACTGCAGAGCCCACCAGAAATTGCAACTGGTTCTTTGCTTGTACCCTGGTCATGGTTGGGTATGAAATGACTTCCTTTCGATGTTATGTTCAAAGAAGCTTGAGGTTCTTTAGAAATTGAACCTAATGGATATTGTTCATCAAATTGATTTGTGCTCAGCTCATCTGGTATGAACTGAGCAGGACCCAGCACTCGATTTTCTTGGATTATCTCTCGGACAATTTCACGTACTGTGTAGAAAGAGCCACCAACTTCCTTGTGTGTCAGAGTCAGTGATGGAAAATTCCCATTGTTTGAGCTCTGATACCTGCAAATGATTGATATGCCACTAATGAGGCAACAAAAAACTGGAAACTTGATAAAGTAAATGTGCAACAAGAAAGTAAAGTGTGGCCCTTAAGTTTAGGAAAACATACACAAGTTATGTCAATAATCGCCTAATTATAGATCCATTCATAGGAAAATTATAAATTAGTTTGAGCTAAAGTCAATCAGAAAAAAGAAATTTCTCCACATTTGGTGATAATTTAAAACTAAAAAATGCTTGTCCTTTTGTGTCAATATACCTATCAAAACTTGTAGTTACATCAATTTGAGGCACACTGTTTGAACCTAATAATCCACTTAAATGCTAATTTCACAAAACAAATGCAAAACTCGCCATGCAAAAGATGGTTAAAGTCGGTCTCCAAGCCCTCTTCCAGATCAAAGGATACAATTAGTAGCCTACAACTCAAAGTATCAACAACCCCTATCACATCATGCTACCAACTATTAGACACTACAATCACAAAGGGAAAAGTTGTATATGTTGCTAGCAAAAAAAGTTACACAATCTGAGGGACAGACACAGATACACACTAAGAATAAATTAATTTATTCAGGGTAAATAAGAAGTAGAAGGCAGAGGACAATCAGTGACACCCTTTTCATAGGTGATAAAATAGTAAAATATGTAAAATTAAGGGAAAATGTATAAAAATTACTTTTTTATAAAGGATTCAACCATTGTCTTCCTCTCCTCCTTTGAACGCCGAACTCGAGACTTCCTCCCTCCAGACTCATTGCCCTTAGCTAGGGCAAATGTTTGCCCAACCCAACCACCCTTTATAGCATGCATTATCGTTAGAAATTAAGTTCACCGCCACCTGTTACAAATGCAAACTTATGGAAAAGAAAAGTTAAAATTAGAGACTCATTCACAAATCGCAATTATAATCATCCATTAAAAGTACAGACTTGGTCCAACAAAACACAACTACAATCTGAAAAACAATATGATTCCCTAAATAAGTAAGCCGGAATTATCCATTTCATGTTTAATAATACAAAAAAGGAATTGCATCCCAGTAAAGTCCACTAATCCCCGTAACGTTACCGGGTCAGCAACCCAGTACTCAAGCATTTCCATGAGTAGTAGTCAGTCATACTACTGGAGAAATGAATTCCACAAAAGGAAACGAATACACAAAGAAACGGGCAGTGAAAATGACAAAGAGATGATGAATATTGTTGATAATTTAAAGTTGAATTGTAAATGGAAAAATAAGAGGAAGAAACGAAAATAAGAGTGAAGTATAGGGAAAATGGAAGAGAATCAAGAGTTAATAGTGTTACCTGAACATGGAGAGAAATGAAGGCTGGAGTGTTTTTTCAAAACCCTATGAAGAATAAGTGTGGAGTAAAGATTTGTTCAATTGGTCCACCTTAGGGCGGGATCAGTGTAATTTTTTAAGAATTGATGGTCATAATCAAACCAAACTAACAAAGTTAACAAGGAAGGGATGACTGGTAATGGACTATATGATTGGGCTCACCCAAAATGCTGCGTTGAAACTTGACGGGCTGGATTACATTGCCCATTCTATATAACGATCGCTCTTTGTTGAGTTGAATTTGATACAAGGATTTAAACTTGAAAATACCTAATAATGAACCCAGAGTAGGCCATTGTGATCGAATCAGAAGATTATCAGTACAAGTGCTTGAGAAGAAGACTAATAAGCACGAGAAAGAAAAATATATTCACATCTATTAATACTTTAATGTACATAGATTTTGTTACTTCCCCAGCAAGAGAACAGCCTTCTTGTCTTGCACTCCATTAATTGGCTCACATCAATGTATCTATGTAGAGTATTGAACCATTTGGGAAAAAAATTTATAGAAGTGGAATCAAACTTCAGTAACAAAGCAGATATAGCAGGAGTCGGAATCTGGAAAATGCGAAATGAAAAAGTCAGAGCAGGAAGGGTCTTTCCATGTTGAATTGCTCTAATCAAAATTGCCTCTAATATTACAAAAAGAATATACAATTGTAAAAGAATACATTTGTACTTGCTAAATGGGTGAACTTGAATGCGGAGAAAGAATCTGAATTTGTGTTGATGCTCTTCTCAGTTCTCAACAATCTGGTAGCTCTATAATAAGCCTCAAAACTTTTGTGTCGTCCCTGCTGTCATTAGGAGTATATATATTTTAGTTTACTGAGAACGGTATATAATCTGTTGAATCTCGATGTTAGAAGGAAAGCTTCTCCAGCTGAACGAGCCTTTTCTGCTTCCCAGTTGAAAATAAATTTTGGTTCAGTACCTGTATTATGATCAAAGAATTAAACAACTAGGTTTCAGGCTATAAGCATCATAAGAAGATTTTATCTCATTATATCAACTTCTTTCTTCCAAGTGTCGCCTGTCTGTATCCATGCCTCAACCTTTCGAATAATTTCTCCTTTGTTTTCCTCTTCTTGTCCATCTTTAGTCTGTATCTTTCTTCTCTCTCTCTTTCATAAATCCCTTGCCAATGCACTTCCCCCGTTAATGGCCACAACCACTTCTCCCTCGGATGGTCACCATCATCTGCTGCCTCAGCTAGATCTTCATCCATGCTCTTCAACAATGTAAAATTAAAATATTTTCCCCATCTAAATCCATTGCGTTGATCTATAGGATGCTGCTCTTTTAGAGAACCGGATAGAGGATCTAAGTACACCATCTTTCGTCCGCTGTGATAAGCCCAGACATTAACAAGAAGTTCCAATACCCGACAATAACAGTGCTTTTTCTGATGAATGTTAAAAGAAGTAAAATGAGATATCTTTACCTATCAGAACCACAAAACCAAATGTTATAAAACCCACACAACTTTACCTCAAGGTTGGAGGAACTCAACAAACACGTATTTGCTTCGCTAGAATTGTTATGCAAGGCATCAAGAGAATCGGCAAACATCCTGCATTTTTAGCAGCAAAATCTTAGTGCTATGTTTTCATTGATGATAAGCAATGGTGCCTTCCATAAGACAGCCTGGGAAAGAATGTAACAACAAAATGAGTTAAAAATTAAAATGGTATATAATGCAAATTACCTGGAAAACATCATGAACTCTAAAAAGGAAGGGGTTGGCATAACCCAGCTATGCAGGGCAGACCAGAGACCACCATCTACTGGCATGGGAGGAAGAGCTTCTATATGTGATGGCAAGTCATACATCTTACGGAAGGCATCTTCAAAAGCAGCTCTGCATGCATTAAAAAACAAAATTTATCGAGGTTCCAAGCACATATATATTAAAGGGTCGAAACTTTTGGGTTCATGTTTATAACTAAAAGCCAGCAATCAATTTCTTTTAAAAAAAAACCTTAGAGATCACTTGAGCTTTCCTGTAGGCTCAATGACTTCTAAATTAAAAAGTATTGACAACATAAGTATGTATGCATAATAATCATTTACCAGCAAATATTTTCTACTATACCTGCAGTATCCTCCATTTAGGATGTCGCATATTGACCAAAAAGTAAGCTCTTTATTACTTCCTGGAAATCCACCATCCATGTCCAGGTGTGCCCAAAAATACATAACATCACTTTTAGTTTCCTTTAATGTTTCTTCCAGAACTTTTTCAGCTCTTATGGACAATGAAACCTATTTTTTTAGGAAGAAAGGGGACGGTATTAGTAGCAAACTATGATTAAATGAGGAAACTTTGAACTTCAGGCAGAAAATGCCACATTAACTACAACATTGTAAGGTAGAATAGCTTTTCCATTTTTCCCCAATGCAAAGTACTCCTTTTCTAGTTGAATATCACTGAAATTTCAAACGTCTCTTTCTTCTTTGTTTCTAGAAGGATGAACTCAAACTTAAAAGTAAAGATGGAAATACAGTTTATAAATACAGCTCCATCGAATAATCAAAAACTGCAAATATAGGGACACCTGTGTTAGAAATACCTTTCTACCAGCTGCACGCCATGACTGAAACCCAATCCAAGGTCTTTTGTGAATACTATCCACTCTATTTGCAATAGAAAACATTCCTCCAATCTCACAGAGAATGTCCCGGTAGTAAGTAAAATTCAAAAGAGGAAGCCGACCAACTGCATCCACATCATCTGATCTTAACCTTCGAGCTGCTGTAGACTGACAAAAAAAAATAGATGATTAAGAAAAAAAAAAAAAAATCACACTGCAAAGACAACATTTTTAGATAGAGCCTATCAGTATAAGTTGAAAAAAAAGAAGGAATACCCTTAATGAAGGAATAAAAAGATTCATATATGCTTAAGCAGACACATCAAATGCATTAATAAGGATATAAAAGGACTAAATTACATACTATACCAAAAAAAATAGAACATGAGAGAGAGCATGCATTTCTATTTTCTTTCTTTATTTTCCTCTTTTCCGATCTATAGCAGGTAGAGCAGTTCAAATAAAAAAATGATGCAAAAAGTTTAAATCCTCTAATAGCAAATCAAACAATTATATATGGCTGAAATAAAATAGTAATATCTCAGAGTAAATGGCACAATATATTAATTATTAAATAAAATAAACATCAGCAGAAAATAAAATATAGATAAATAAACTCACAAGACTTAACCCACGGTACAAGGAACCGTGGTGCAAAAATGGCCAGGCCCCAGCACCACCGTATATTTCATAAATGCATACTGGCTGCCCTGTCCTTTCTAGCTCTCCCTCATCCCTTTCATTAGCTTCAAACTTAAGCTTTTCGGATTTTCGAGCTTTACGATATATATCATCCCACACACCACTGTCACTGTCCATTCTTTCTTCAAGCTACATATTAGGAAATAAATATCCATGTCAAATGTCTTAAACCAAAACATGACATAAAAACAAAGAAAAGATAATGCAAGGGGTTGGGAATGGGAAGATCCAAGAAGGTTATTTAATTGCAAAACACCACACCTCCTGCCTCTCTAGTGTCTCATATTCTTCAAAATTTTCTATATCTCTTAAAACATCCCAATCTCCTTCAGTCAAGGAATCTTGTGCCCAACTTTGATTTCCATTTTCCGAGAAGTCCATTGAATCAACAAGATTGGTGAATTCTTTCTCAAGGACATAAACAACACTGGAATTTCTATATGAAGCATCCCCCTGCTCAATGTTTGGTATGTCACCAATTCCATGCTCCATTTCTTTCCTGAACAAATTCCATTCCCATGAAACCTGCTGAAGTTGTGAGATCGGACCTGGCAACAAGGCATCTGAAGGAAAATTGAGTAAATTCTCCAGAAGCCGTGCATAACCAGTTATGCAATCTGATGCCAGCATATTCTTAGCAAGTAGTCTTCCAGATAAAGCAACAGTTCTAGCAAATTTAGAAAGTTTCCCATTTGATATGAAAAGTGAGAAAGCCCTCATCAAATCACCAGGATTATGTTTTTGATAAAATATCACATTGGCACCATCAATAACCTGTAATTTCATAACCACTTCCCAGATATAAGAAACAAAGAACCCCAAAACTTTAGTAATCAGCAGACAAGATGAGAAAAAATTTGGACTCACATGTTTTTTAATGATAGGATAGTCAGGTGTAATAATAGGGATTCCAAAAGTCATGGCTCGAATAATCAATGAAGGAAAACCCTGTTCAACTTGAGAAGAACCATAGAGAACAATGTCAGCCATCAGCAGCACACTGTTGACATCAGTATTCAGCCCATAATGCCTTATAGAACCTTGCAAAAGTCCTAGCCGTGAGGCAACTTCCTATACAAGAAATAAAAGAAATCATCAATCTTCAAGATTAAGTATATATATTCAAAACAGCATTGTGGACATAATTGAAACTAAGCAAAGACATTTTACAAAATGACTGCTTCAGTTCATTTTCCCATTTCTTTGAGACTTGTCCATAGTTTTTATGATATCTTAACTTTATCTTCGTCATCGATTTTCCCCTCTAATGCCTCTTTTTCAATATCACTTCATTGCTTGTAGTGAATAACTTGAAAGAACATAACAATATGAACCTATTGTTAATAATATGATAGAACCAAAAATAGTAAGCTTGTTTATCCAGCTTCACAAGTCAATGAATTCTCTCATCAAGTAGCGTATGCCACAGATGAATGTGGCTGCACAATTACGGAATGAATGAAATAGGAAATATTTTCAATGAAGCATTAGTTAAAAGAATCAACATCTGAACCACTAGATAAAACATGAGTTTTTAATACATATATAATTAATGAAAAAAATAGTAAACTATTTAAAATGCCCGCTTTGTTCCCCCGTCAATAGTTGAGATACCGCTTTTCTGTTTACACTCCATCAAATGACAATTAGACAAATTCAAGTGATTGCTCAGGCATATTTTAGTTAAGTTTACCATAGGAAATACTCATAACTATGTATAGGACAAATGCGAGAAGGTTATTAGGTGGCATTCACATGGTAAAAACATAAGCAATAATTCATCAATTAACAATTTGACTACCTGTAGTGCATTGTTATACCCATCAGTGGAATTGCCACATAAGAAAACAAACTTAAATGACCCCTCCACATTGTTTCTCCTTGCATATTTAATTAGCAGAGGTCCTATATCATGCATTGCCACAGCATAGTCCCACGATAGCTCATCATAGAAGAACGAACTTCCGACGACTAGAACTAAAATATCATCTAGAAGAAATCCATTTTCCTTTCTTAATTGATATTTTACATGATTTTTACTGTAGATCTCTGCAGCCCACACGTCGACTGGTGATCCAGTAATCACAAAGAAGTTTCCAGTGTCAAGCACACTATATAACATCTGATATGGGAAGGTTGAGAAACAGAATAAGAATGTCTAACATACTAACTTGAAATAGAGTAGTAACATAATTAATTGGTAGATTTACCGGCAGACTAAAATCTGGAAACACAACAACACTAGCCCTGCTAAAGGTACTTTTCCAATCAGAAAGGAGATTCTTTGAGCCCTTTTCCACATACACTGGTAAACGATTTGCAAGTGTATCTTCCTGGATTACCCATATGAGTGGTATTGAATGAAAGGGCTCCTGCATAAGGCTGCACAGATATAAAACTCACTAATCATAGCATCTCACACCAATGCAAACATGTGAAAAAAAGCTGGAAAGAGATGCAAATCTAAGAAAACACATCTACATGCTCTACAATCCAGATTATTTTAGCTTTGTTTCATAAATAAACATGACAGAACCACCTCTTCAAAATATAATAAATGAAAACTTCTTTAAAATAAAATAAATGAAAAAAATATATATATTGTCATTGCTAATCTTCCAATAAACTATCATTTTCTTTACAGTACATAATTTTGAAGATTTACTGGAAAAAACAAAAACAAAAATAAAAATACCAGATCCTCATCCTAAAAATACCCAAAACAAATGTCATGTAAGGTTTACAATTTCCAGTCATCTGCCAAATTTAACATCATGTGCATTGTAAATACAAATGAAGATCAAAAACAGAAATTATCAAAACTTTCTTAAGAGGATAGGATCTGATTTGATCCATGCCCAAGCATAATGCACAAAATCCACCAAGTGCCATGCAATATGAAACTCTTAAAAAAAATTATAAGAATCAGTGAACTGAATATAGAATCATCATACCACCCACCTGGATATGGCTTCTTTTGCTTCAAGAGAATCAGCAATAATACCTTCAAAACTGTTTGAAGAATGCACAGGATATTAATAATCCATATCAAGGAAAAAGACAGGAATTTACCAAAAAGTTGTGACTAAGATATGATCACTTTTGCGATATAGAAAGAAAAAACAAAAAACAAAAAACAAAAATGGAAAAAATAACCAAACAGTACAACTTTAAAGAACATACATAGACCAATCAACATGGCCATACTGCTCTGGACCTAAGATAGAAATCTGACCACCCATCCGCTCCCACATTGAGTGTGATGTTCCATTCTCCACAGCATAGATCTGTCATACATGCAGTAAGCATGCATAAGCATATCTGATTTAAGCAGTCTAAAACACTGCCCATAACATAAAAAAACTATCATGCTGTCCAGAACTCTGCGATACTTATTTTTTACAAAAAATTGAAGAATAGTTTTTTGTGTTGAAGCTTTCAACCAGTTTTGTAGGTTATATACTATATCCATACATGAGAAATAACAGTATTTGTTACTAAATACGAAAAGATAATAAATGCTGTAGAGAAATGTAAAAAAATTAACCACATAAATGCAAGAGCAGTTTACCTTAAACACATACCCAAGTCTCTGTAGATTCTTCACCAAAGTAATCAACATCAATGACCGCGGATCTTTTTTCATGTTTCCCAGGATCTGTCATTCATCAAGGCAGGCACAATTTATTTAAACCGTTCAACAACTGGATGCACAAAACTATGAATCTTATCACTTAGCACAAACAACTGATGGAAAAAAGATGACCAAAATTCTTAGGTTAAAAATAGAAAGAGTTACAATTCCTGCTAAAAGGAATTTGAAGTTCATGTGCTCAACACCAAGGGACAATTTGTTCAAATTTTTTTCATGATTATTTAATTAATTAGCATGGGAGAGAATGTGACAAATCTATAATTTGCAGTAAGAGTCCTCAACTAATGACTGCACATATGAAACCTAGATACCATAATCTTGGCATAATGTAGCTATTGAGTAAGTCAAACACAAATTCTTCATAATCAGCAGCTTGAGTTTTTTTAATTAACAAAGCAAAACAAGACTATTCAAACATATCTAAAAGTAACCATTCTCAAAAACCTAAAGCCCCAGCCTCATAAATACCTATCTTACAATGCAACAACAAGTTAAAATCCATTGTCATATTCTTTCTCTTTCTTGTGGTTTCATTAATATTTATGTTATCCAGTTTAAAGTGGAAAATTATGAAACAAACAAACACTTCATCTTTCCCTTTCAAAACTGGGCTCTCTCCTTAAATACCTTATTTTTGTAAAGGTCTCAATTTTTTTATAAAATACATCTCAATGTCTAAAAATATTTACCAATAAGTAGATTTTTTTTCTGCATATATATTGTTTTTATGTTAATGCATCAAGTTTATAATGCCTTCTTAAGTTGCTGTCATAGTTTCCCTGACATTCTTATGATTAAAGCCTTCAACACATCGTAAGAAAACCTGCATGCCCTCAAACAAAGTGAGAGAAAAACAAAAATTCACCTAGCAAGTAGCAACATTGAAATAGCATTTACCTGACACACTACTTATCCCATCATAAAGCCAAACAATGAGCCTCTTTTTACACATACAACAACCACCAATTGATGCATTAATGAGCAATCATATCAGAACTGAAAAATGAGCTGATCATCCATAGGAATTCTTTAATGTATAAACCCCTCTCCTCCCATCACCAGAATTTTCTGCAATTCTTTATAATCTTTCATCATTTGGCCAGTACTTTTATATTCGTCCATTCTTTCTTCTTTAGGTTTTAAATGCTTAAACCCCTCATCACTGCTATCCCTCAACACACGAAACAGCGAACAAGTCTTATTATGTACATCCTATTGTAATACAACCAATCAATGACACATTAGCACAAGTGCAACACTTGCTTTCAAATTGACAGATTGTATTACAACATGATGCATAGAAGTATTTGTCCAAAATAACAGGATGCAAATTATTCCTCGTTAAATACATTGCCACACGGACTTCTAAAATGTATGATATTTTTTCCGCTACCATTTACCACAGGATTAATAATTCTACAACAATGATGATAGCCCAGAAACATCAGAGGAGCAATTAGCAATCCATAATTAATAAATTACCGATCAACTTTACTAATTACTAACATGATCAAATGTTGCAACTCTATACTTTGTTAATTTATATCATAAAACCTAAAGTTCTAACTTACACGTCATCTCATTAACAAATCTTAAATCATTAATTGCTACTAATATCCACTTTCCAGCAACCACATCACACGGCACCGTTCCGTAAAAAGGGTATAAAACACGAACGACAAAAACGAAAATCTCAAAGCACACTCACAAGACCAATTCGCGGCGGCCGGACTCCAATTCTCGGCTGGGAACGCAACCTATCAAGCCCATCACCAAGTACGACACGACGCGGCGCGAATCTCAAACGAGTCCCCAACTTCATCGCTTCTCTGACCGGCAGTCCGGTCTCACTCCCGAACACAGACGCGATCGAGCTTTGAAGAACCATAGACGCCATCGCGAACCCGAAAACAGCAAGAAATGCCATGAAATACAGCAAGTACGTACCTCTAAGCGGAAATAACGAGAACAAACCCTTGTGATTTGAACGGTTACTAACAGCGGAGGTTCCGTTAGTGTGCCGATTGCGGTGCAAGTAACGGTGGAGAGCAGGCTTGATCTGGCTCTTAGCCTGGCATTGGTTAGGGTTTCGCTTGCAGAGGCTTGTAGTGGTGTTGCTAGTTGAAGCACATTCGTTGGCGGAATCGGGATGTCTGGGGGTTCGGCCCATGGCGATCGGAGCGAAATGAAAATAATTGGATTAAGAATAGAAATTTTCTCGGGAAAAAGCAAAGGAAAATTAGCAAAAGAAAGAAAAAAAAAGATTGATTGGAAATTTGTTTGGTTAATTAAACAAAAAGGAGATTGCGTTTGTTTGTTTGTTTTTGTAACTTTGTTTGGTTAGTTAGTAGTGTTGGACAAGTGTTTTTTCGTAGTGCAAGTGACATCTTATATATATATATATCTGTTTACCGAGAGGAAGTTGGTGAGCTGTGCCGGCGCCAATTTGGGTTGGGAGGACTTTTCTGTAATTTACATTTACTTTTATTTATTATATTAATAGTTAAACATAAATCAATTACGCGTTTTAGGGCATTAAGCACGTAAAGTATGAACAACTTTATTGAAAATGATTCATTGAAAATCTTAGGTCACTTGAAAGAGAGAATATCAACTCCAGAGCAAAATTAAATTATTGGTTCGCAATTTTAAGAAACAATACAAACAGTGAGGGGATTTGTACCGTTATCAATATTTAAGTTTAATTCATTGATTTTATAATAAAAATTATGAGATTATACAGAGAATAAAAGTATAATTCTTATAAAATATATATAATATTATATATACTCCTACACTAGAAAAAGTGGTGTTGTATTGGAATGAGAATTTAATTGTTTACAAATCTTGAGATGTAGACTTGTCAACTATCATTATAATACAACAATTAACATCAACTTTTGATCATTTTCAACTGCAAAACATCATTGCACATTCAATTTCATACTATAATGTGTAAATTACAGGGTAAACTGTATTTATACGAATTTTGATAGCAGAAATTATTACATAATTAAATTTAACATTAATCTCTAAAAACATATAATCTAGTTCCCATTAATTCCGGTTTTATAGCTGTAGTAAGTCCCGAGTTTTAAAAATAAAATAACTAATATTTTCTTTTTCTTTCTCTTTTTAAGTCGGAAGAAATGTATTCCTAATATCTAATAAATAAACAGATTTACACAAATAGAAAATAGATTATCAACTGTTTTAGGCCTCATTTACAGAGAATTATATTTTATGTTAACCATCTAAGTTAAATAGATTAGAATTAGATTGAATTATATTGACCACATAACATGTAGCCAAATCATATTTATTAAAATATAAAAAACCGAAGCCCTTGTTAATGGATGCACATGGATCATAATTCAAGTTCAATTAACCATGGAGACATTCAATTCAATCTCACGATCCTCTGTCATAATAAATTTAACAAACATCAAGATACCAATTTTGCCAAATTATTGAAACGAGGACTAGGAAAAATTATCTCCTCGCAAATTTATTTATTTATAGTGGACCAGAGTTTAAGGAATAATCCCTTTCACATCAATTTAAAAAAATATGTTTAATTAGTATTATATTGGTAGAGGGACAAGATAGTGTGTGTTATGAATAAAAAAAAAGCATAAATAATTTTAATTTAATTTAAAAACAGTTACTTAAGAGTATGATCTTGTGGGTGTGGGAGCACATGGATTAGCATGTGAGTGGTAGGGCATTATGACAAAATCGCAACTCTCATGTGATTTAAGAAATGAGAATTGCGTTGATTTGGACCTTCTGGGCCCATTTGCCAAACATTCAAATTCCGCTATCTCCCATGTCCCTACCCGCCAACCATAGTACCATGTTTCTCTTATAGTCCATTTTTGGTCCAATTATTCTTGGTCTGTTTTATCTCTGTTGGAGTTGGACCACTCTAAATCTCTAATTCAAAAATGTGACCCTTTTGTCCAAAAAGTTCACTGTAATCCTTTCAATTAACCATGTTAAAGCAAATTGGTTTTTGTCATTGCTTAACATAGTTACAGAAATCAACTTCCTTCAATAGCGAATCTTCTATCAAGTCTCGTGGACAGAGTCGTAACCTTTCAACAAAAATTTCATTCAATTAGAATGTACGGAATTTTGTGCATATATGAGTTCCATGTCTATGATGGAAGGAACCTATAATGTAGTTTTATTGATATTTATTTAACTACTACATCAATTTCGTGATGATATAATACATGCTTTTATTGGGAACAGACTTTTTCGTTTATAACTTTACAAGAACATAAAACTTGGATTGCTTTTGTAATTTCATTCATCATCAGGACGAGATTCAAGAAATTGCCTTACTTTAAGCCGTTCATCCTCTGTGAGATCAAAATCGTTATCACTCAACCTCTTCCGCAGGGCTGAACTGATACTTGTTGCATCATCATCAATAATCTGTGTACAGTATATAAAGAATGTCAAAAAACTGTCAATCATTACCGGTAACCAAAGCTATTCTAAATTATCGATTATAGAATTGTATCCAGTAGTGCTACTCTTTTCCACAGTAATTAGGAATCCACATTTTTTGGTGCATTTCACCAAATCCTATGTTATAGTCTAAGTATTAATAACTATTATGATTTGTCCGCTGGTCACTAGAGCTAGATAGAGGAAACTTACATCAACATAGTTGTTGACATGGCCGTCTTTGTTGGGATAGGTACTTTGCTCATCTTTGTTGCATAACCACTCACCATCAACAATATACTTGTACTCGTAGTGTCCTTCCTGTTAAACCAAGAGTTATTAGTCAAAGCATTGCCATGGTCTATATCAAGAGCAGAAAGATCTTGAGAAATAGAAATGACTGGCATATATAGAGTACATATTCGATCTTTCGACTTGTTTCCACCAAATGTATAATTGAAAAAAAGGGAGATACACTTACTGGAAGTTCCTTCTCCATAATCCAAAGACCTTGTTTTTCATTTGTTAGAGGCATTCTCTGAAGAAGAGTTACAAAATAAAATGAATTTGTCATAATAGACAAGGGTCATAACACCATATATGATCTTACATAATGAATGCTTCTCTTAACAATTTATCTCGCTTCTTGTTCTGTGTAGAAGTCAAGATTTCAATTAAAAAATGCATTCTTCCACAACCTAGTGTCACTCTTCATATTTTTCCTCACCTAAAGCATCCAAAATGATTCTCTTATTCAAGAAGATGATAATAGATAGAAAATCAATACCTGGCCCCATCCTATATCCAGTCCAGATATTTCCACAGAAGTGCAATTTTTATTTTTCCATGAAAAAGTGACAGGCTTCTTTCTGAATCCTGTAAGCTTTTAACAAAAAGATAATGTAGATTAGATGAAAAAAAAATTCTGTACAGTTCAATGCCTCTTGAGCATCTATTGACTATTGTGACATTAAAAACTAAATCTGACTCACAATATCAGCAGTTGCATATTTTATAGCATCCAGTTTTGGGAAGCATGAACGCTTGCTCTGCAAGAGAAAAAAAACCAAACTACTTTAGGGATGGCAAGAAGATCCTGTGGTTATAAAAACAGAACTTTAGGTTCTTTCTTTTTTTTTTCTTTTTTTTTTTTTTTTTTTTCACATTCATCTCCAACAACAAAAGATATGTAATTTGTAAAAATGATTACTGATGTGATGTTAACATCAAAATTTACATCATATTCTAAAAATAAATTATGCCCAATTATTCTCAGTAAGGAAATACGCAAGTAATTGGTTTCCATGAAATGATAAGTATCCTGTCTACATAAGTATTATGTAGTGAGCATTCATCAATAATAAATCAGTTTATAGATCAAAAAAACAATGTAGAATCAACAAGTTGACTTTTTGGTCATTGTGATAATAGGATTGTACAGAAAAGGGGACAAAAGTAAATGAATAAGCAAGGTATTAATAATTGTGAGATTATTTTAACCATTTATCCAAATCTTGCAAATGCAGATTGGTAACATACTGGATAAGAAATAATGGATACTTCAATATCGTTAACTTAAATAGAAAGGTATAATGATGGTGATCATGCTTATTTGAATTTTTATCTATTTTTAAGGATTAATTATCTTTTAAAAGGAAACTTGGGATATCACTTATTTCTGTTGGTTCAGGATCTTTTACCATTAGGAGTAGATTACTTTTATCCTAGTATTTTTAGTTTCGCATTTTATAACTTGGCTACGAAGTTTATGTAAATCTAGAAAAAGTTCATGATTTATGTTGAGAGTTCCAGAAACCTTAGTCCTGATCATGTCTGTCCCCTCTTTGTTTCTTTTCTACCCTTCCCTCTAACTTCTTCTAATTTCTACTTACTTTTCTCTCCTTTTTCTCTCTTAATCTGTCTCCTTTTCTCTTTCGTATCATACATCAACTAGTATAAAAGGTTTTTTATCCTAATTTACATCATCTCAAAATATTAGAATCTAATTGTGAAACCCAATATACAGGCTACTTGTCAGAGTTTCAGAAACCACTTGTAAGTACTTAAAACTCCACGTTTATCTTAAAAAAACAGGATAGTTATGAGTACACACCAAATTCTATGATAATATTGAAACAGTAATGTAGAGTTACCAGCAGAAGTCTGTGAGCTTCACTCAGTTTATAGCCTTGAACCCAGAACATGTATGCCAGCTGTAGTTTACAACCAACAAAGCTTCTCACTATTAATAGGAATTAAATTAACAGATTTGCATACATATGAGTGAGAGCTAAATCATAAAATCTTATCATCATAAATAAATAAAGATAGCAAAGCCCCTGAGTATCCAAACTTCAATGTAAGAAAGTCTCTAATAAGTTTCCAGTACATCTTATGAGCAAAATAAATATGATTAGGAAGCACTAATAGTCAGATTCCTCTTTACCCTTCTAAAATTTCTTCTACATCCTAATTCTATATGCTCTTTCAAGAGCTCAAAGGATAATTAACCATGCATAGACAACTCAATTGTGTATAAGCATGAAAAATTGATGAGCGTACTGCATCCCTACTTAGGACTAATAACCAGGTATTTTGATATGAAGCAAAAATTGATAATGTACTTTCTTCATCCCCTGCCAATGACATTAGTAGGAGCAAAGGCCTTCAACATTGTATTTAGTCCATCTCATTGCAAACAATTTCTCAGAAGTGCTGAACTCACCCATCAAGTGATATACGACCAAACATATTAAAAAAACCAAATCACTTAATAGACATGCGAAGTAAGGACGGAGAATAAAAGCAAAAAATCTGCTAGAAGGTTTTAAACAATAGTCACATTGGGTGCAAGCCCCTAACTTTGACAGAGAAAATAATGCAATATCTTTCATATCATCAGTGAAGCACCTTTGGACAGAATTTCATTGTTGCAATGATAAAAAAAAAGTCGAAGAACAAAGGCAAATATTTTGAGTAGTTTGCATTTCCTACATGATTCAATATTTTGATTTCTTGCAAAGATCTATGAAACTAGACATTTGAACTGTGAAAACTAACATTAATTCATAGAATACTACCAAAAATAAGATCAAGGGCAGGTATACACTTTTTCACAACCCATAGGAATATTACTTGTAAGCACAAAACTTTTTTCCCTCGTATAATAAAAAAATTTCGGTTCACCAACAACAAGACTCTTCTAAATGAATTTTTTTTTCTGAGTCGTGGATGAAATTATGATTGAGGAATGGCGATTATAGTTACAGATGAATCTGAAGCGTGGTAATGATTTTTAAGGTCTTAGCTTGTGCATACCGTGACAGCAGGAGCTCTTCCTAGTCCAGCAGTACAATGCACATATGTAACACCTCCATTTCTCTTAATGGCTTTGTATAATTTACCAACCACAGCTGGAAGCTGCATCCTCAAATCAAATGAGTCAAAGTCCCTGGAATGCTAAAGATTAGGATATAGAACAAGTAAACAGTGCACTATGCACGAGTAGCCACATGTCTGTGTGTGCATGTGCATAAAACTATATATATGTTTGTACATATCTATATACAAGTATTTATGAACTTTTATAATGATCTACTATTCCATATAATAATTGCAATGAATTGATTTCAGAACGAACTAGAAACTGCATAATGCAATTCACACTATGGGAGCACTTCATTCCTCACCAACCATGAGGAAGTTGCTACTTATAAAATAGATAAGTAAAACATTTTCAGGCAAATGAGTAATCAGTTGATCAATTATGTTTAATAACTAATATATTAGTTTTTTCTGTTAAAATTCTAATTGAAAAACATTTGGAAGAAAAATATAGGGAAACTAGGGGTCGACACACAATGACTTTTTTCCTCAAAATATTTGTTTACATTGTACAATAACAAACTCCAATATGAGAAAAGCTTAAATCTGAGATTGGCACTATTCTACCATACAGCTAAGCAGCCACATGCTATGAAAAACATTTGAATCCCATCCTTATCCAATCTTATACTTCTTTCAGTCATGACATAAAAAACCACACTGCTGGAGTACAGAGTCATAATGATAAAGCAACCACTCTCCAATGACTAACCTTATTTCAGCACGCAAGTGTTGAATGTCATCATATGTCTTGGCATACTCCTGAATAGCACTAATGTCAACTCCAAAATATCTGGAACTGGTGAAGGAATTATAGCAATTTGTTTGGTCATGTAATCATTTCAATAGATTGCATTAAATGCTAAAAAATTCATGTTAACAAATGAAGGTCCATAAAATAAGGATTAATTTTTTGTTAACATACATTGAGATATAACTTCTAAAACAAATTTAAGGATACTCCAAATCTGGATTTTGTTGCAAGCAAAATATGGTTTTAACTCCAATTTGACGAAGCTTGTCAACATCTTCAGGAGTCTACAATTATGATAAAGAAAAGTAAATATCAGATGATCATCCTCAAGAGAATATAATTAATTCCTACATAGAAATTAAAAACAACAATTACCTGTAGGCAAGATCCTACAATCAAATCTGGTCGAATGAAGTTGTAAGTCATTCCTAGTTCATGCCTATAGGTCAAAACTGTATCAAAATACATCAAAGAAGATGATCAGCAACACGCAGAGTCGCTAACAAAAGAAATCTAGATGTGTAAGAGATAAGGATTTAGAGGAATATGTCCATTGTAATAAACAATCCACATGTAAAATCAATCTTTTACATATGTCCATAGATCACCATATTAAATAGGCTGCCAGAACAGCATATAAAATAATGATCCAAAGAATCAGATGCAAAAAAATTTCTTCAATTAGCGCAAACTTATACTTCAAAATTTTTTATTTATTTTTGGCCTAAATATGTCGTAAGTCCACAATATCAAGGATGCCATTTACATGGAACATGTCCTGTATATCTTAAAGTCTCCACAACTTCCTCAATGTCAAAGTTAAAGCTTATGTGTAAACTTACCCGCACCCATAGCTTCTGTCATGTTATTACTATAGATATCAGATTTTTCCTCCTCCACTTCAGAGCCATTCATCTCTTTACTTGACATAGATCCTGAAATTGCCTGTAAATGAAAATTGTCAGCAATCTTCTACAAGAATTTGTACATCCATAATCAAGAGTCAACAAAATCATACACAACTAATAATTCAGAACAAAAATCAAGCAACAGACTTGACCACCTTGCCTAGCCTACTCTTCAAGGGCACTGGTATAAATCAATGTTCACCAACCTTCACAAGGACTTAAAAACTGCAATAATGGACTTATTTTATTGGCAAACAACAGCTGTACAGCACTGCCGGTTTTGGTCTTTGTCATATAATTGTCGTCAACCATATATTAATAAAAAATAATAAACACTACTGAGCAAAATTTCCCCTTTAACATGCTTTTCCATTCTTCACTTGAAAATGTCTAATTTCCACTCTCTCAATGACATTATATAATCATAAATGAATGATTAAGACCAAAAAAGTATAATCATTTTGACAAAGAAAACATTAACAGAATAAACAAAACAGAACAAACAAAAAAAATGGATATTCCACACAAACTCCATTACGATTGGATGATATAGACAAATTGAAATCGTCAAAAGAGATCTATTCATTTCCCCTAAGACCTGCTGCTACAGGGAGCAGTCTTAGTTACGAAACAACCTAAAAAATGAACTATAATAGCGATTCAAAGCTAATAATACTTTTCCTAACAAAAAACTGAAAATTTATAATTTCTGCAAGTTACCTTGACGGCTATATTTGGATACAGATCAACAGAATTCATCATTCCCTGCAACAAATCAGAGACTCCATAAAACACAAACACATGAACACGAAACAGTAAAAGTAAAACCGGATTGAAGCAAAAAGTGTGTACCAGTGAATTGAAAGAGCAGGAAGAAAGAGGAGCCTTCCGTTGATTGAATTTGAAGCTTTGCAGAGGCAAAGCTGAGGATCTAAAATTTAATTAAAAATTAATTAACGAAAATGAAGAAATGAAGTACAGAAATTGAAGCATCGTTCATGAAATTAAATAAAAAACCTTGGAAGATTCTGTAGACAGTTCATTTGATTGATTGAAATATCAGAGAGAATGAGTAAATCTCGTAAAGGCAAGTGTCTGTAACTGTGCACTTTTTGAACTGATATTTTTGGTGGCCTTTTATCAGCGTTGGAACCAACCGGCAAAGAGGATCGGCTTTTGAGAGATTCTCCAAAATGCCATTTTTTTAATTTTTATTTTATTTAATGTTATAATTTTGTCACGTGACTGAAGATATTTTTGGATGCTAATTTGATTCGTGGATGCGATTTTTCAGCTCTAATAAACAATTATTTCGTAATCTATACATCTGAAAAATATATTTTTAATCTGTATCTTAATTACTTAAACTTTAATATAGGTGTAAAGTTTTTTCATAAAATAAATATAATTTTTTCTTCCTGATTTATTCGCCCCTCTAATTTATCTTAATAAACCCCACTTTAAAAGTTATCCCATTAAAAATTTTAAACATTTAGATAATGATTAAATAAACTTGGTAGGTTTATAAAATACAGTATAACTTGTAGGTTTATAAAATATAGTATAACTTCTCTATAGAGATATTTTATATATGAATAATTTCTACATAGTTATAAAAAATTTTAGTCCTAATTTGGACCAATTATAAATAAAAATAAATTTTACATTGTAATAAATTATAATTTTTTAGGTCCCGTCTTAAAAAAATTACCTCTACATAGTAATAATTATATGTATATTGTAAAAAATATATACTATGTTACATTAAATGTTTAAGATAAAATAAATATTTATCTAAAGTTGTTTGGGACCATAATTTGTGCTTTAAAATTATTACTACATCTTTTATCTTATAGATACATAATAAGCCGTCAGTATGAACACCTTCTTATTGAAGCCAAAATATTTATAGCTTCTCAAACAAGTTTAGAGTTTCTTAACACAAAACTGTTGGTATTTATGTACTATCATCCTCGGGATTATCTCTTTCATTTTTTTTTGTCTAATTTTAATAATGATTTCTTTTTCAATTAAAGCATACATGACTTGTTTCTCACTTGGATAATTGTGAAAAATATTAATGTCTATTTGATGAGTGTAGTGAAGTTGTCGAATTTGATCACACAAATTTATAGTGACTTTTTTATATCAATTTCCGTATTATCTTAATGCTACTAAAACAATGAATTGAAATCTCATTATTACTAAAATATGAATTATAAAATTAAAAATTAAAACAATAATTCTTATAACTACACTTTCATTAAATTATAACATTTTCATAATAATAAATTTAATTGATCTCAACATTATGACTATAGAGAGGTTATACTATAACTCTTATTTTTACATTTTTACTACTCAGGTTATACTTTCTTGATCCAAATCATGGAAAGTTGGATGCACAAGTACTATGCAAATCTTCATCAACTAGGAATAAATAAATGAGAAGTGATAATCTTACAAAGACAAATACAAAGGGGGCATATAAAGACAACCCCTACCCTTGATCTTCATGATTTCTCTCTCTCTCTTTCTCTTTTTCCGTTTTTTCTTTATTTTTTCCTTCACTTTGTAGCCTTCTTTGGATAAGTCTTTGTAAGGATAGTATTCCTCTAAATAAATTTAGAGGATTGATATTATACATTATAATTACATTGTTTTTTTTTATATTAAAATTGTGGTAATTATACGATAAATTCATCTTATTCATTTTATTTTTTAGCTTTATTTTTAGGTTTCACTCTCATATAAAAAATTTAAATGTTTTAAAATCATTATAATTATTTATTATTGCTATTTCCATTATTATTAATTTTTGGTACAGTAGTATGGAGCCAAGACAAATTTATTAAAGTCTTTTCCTAAAAGAGATCAATTTCATCCAATGGTATAATAAATGAATAAAACTATGTGCATTCACCAATGAGTACTCATCCAAGTACTAACATTGAAAATTTGAAATTTCCTCCAAAAAAAAATTTTTAAATTTCTAATGTTAGTACTTAGATTAATACACATTGATTAGTGCATATAGCATTACTCAAAATAAATTGAACAAATTGGTGGTTATAATAAATTGTTGTGTGGTAAATTTATCTTATATGGATTTATGCCACGTGTCCCAAGGATGCATTCTTCCGAAGGGGCATGTTGTTTGGTGAGAAAGTTACTTTACTTGTAAGACTCTCAAATATTGTCTCATTGATAAGTCTCAATATTGAATTGTTAATGAGGTCATGTATCATCTTATGAGAGAGTTACTTAAATTTTAGGATCTTTAGAACACTATTTTTCTATTGCAAAAACCACCTCATTTGTATTTAAAATTGAGCTCATTTGTACTTATAAAATGCACAAGTAAACAATAAAATAACAGCAAACATAAAATTTACACTTGCATCCAAATCACTTATTTCTCTGTTCTTTGTGTTTATTCATCATTTTTAGTATTAATCTAACATTAAAACACCGGTTTATCACAAACCCCTGCTAATCTTGTTGAAAACTTTTTTCATTTAATTGCTAATCTTGTTGTTTTTGCTAATTCTCCAAGGCTGGAGTGCTGGTTGTTTGTTGTAATGTGCTTTGGTTGTGTGTGTGTGTGTGTTTTTTTTTTTTTTTTTTACTCTTGGGAGGGCTGGGGTAGGTCGTTGGATTGGGGTGGGTGGAGTGTGCTGCTGGATTTTTATTTTGATGTATTGGCTGCTGTTTGCTGGCTGTCTGTTGGGTTTTTTCTGCTGGCTGGTGCTGCTGGGTTTTTTTGCTACTGCTCGGCTGTGATTTGTAGCTGGCTGCTGCTGTTGGTTCCTGCTCTTGTTTCGTTGCACTTGCTGGTCTCGTGAGTCATGTTCCTTCTAGTTTTGTTTTGTTTAGGCGCCGCTTGCCTCTTGGTTTTGCTGTGGGTAATGTACATCTTAGCCTTTTTGTTTATTTTGTGCTTCTTCCTCTCTGTGTTTTTGTGCGCGAGCCGGAGTGCTAGGGATCTTCTTCTTGTTTAGGTGTTATTTATTATTCTTTATAAAATTATCATTTATCAAAAAATTGGTAAGCTGTTTTTCATGATTTAAAAAAATAAAATTTTAAATGTGTTTTAAAAATTTCACCTGACAATTTATCAATATTAAACCTCTTTTTTGTTGGTAATTGACAATTAAAAAGTTGGTGTGAATCCAGTTAAAACACATCAAAGTAATTTTACATTTAAACAATTATCTAATCTAACAAAGCTCTAATTGCATACAAATACTAAAAATAGATTAATAATACTACACCCACAAGCATTTTATACAAACTTTCTCTTATAAATTTATGGGACAAAGGATAATTAGTTGATTTTAAATTTAAAAATAAACTTTCACCTTATCATTTTCTGTTACATAAGTTTGTAAAAGAAAATTTATTTAAAAATATTGTAAGTGTAGTATCATTCAAAATAAATATGTCAAAACACCCCTAAACGTTAGAAAATGTAAAGGAGATTTTTTATCAAATAAACCCTTAACATTTGAAAACTCCGACATATTGCCATTGTAATAAATGAGTGAAATGGTAACTTTGATCTTACCAAAAATTGTTAGGGTAAAATAACAACTTTAGACTTATAAAAAAGTGTTTTATAAACCTAACGACAAAGTAAAGATAAAGGAATATTTGTTAAAAGTTTTTAAATTTGAGAATCTATTTGATAAAAAATTCGAAAGAAGTGCATTAAAGCAATTTAAGTCACAAACCAAAACCTTAAAAGGTAGATTATGATATTCTCCAAATACCAAAACACACAAAATGTTAAGCAGTTTAAGTCACAAACCAAACCAAACCAAACCAAGCTCTTTATAGAAAGCGAATCCTTCTTATTATTCTATTTCAATGGGTAATTGTTCAAGTGGGAAAGAAAAAAACCAAAAAAAGGAAAAACAACTGCCTGTTTTAAGATACGTTACACTAAAAAAAATACTTTTAAAGTTGCATGATACATTGCATTATATGACTAACCTAAATCGAAAATGTCTTGTAAGACTCGAAAAGTTAATTTGTACCGTGAGTTCTGGTGATTGAATCTATCAAGTGGTCACATATCCAATGGTCCAAATTCACTCCACATGTTTTGATCATCGGAAGACTGAGGATCTCCCAAAATGGTTTCGATCTTTGGCCTTTTGGGTTGATTTTTCGGGAGGGGGAAGTTCCAGAATGAACCAGAATTCCGGAAGAAGATGTAAAATGCAACAGCTGATGCCAGAAAGAGTCCTAGAAGCAGCACGTAAATCTGCCACTCTGCACAAAACAAAAAGAAAATGTTATGGACACCAGATATTAAGAAAGAGGAGAGATTGAGAACACAAGGAGAAACCTTTCCAATCTGCCGGAACATTTAGCTTAGTAATCAAAGCTCCCCATTCATTTGAAGTAGTTAAAACCACCCTGCAGAAAAGCACCCCACCAGGGGAAGAGTTAATAATTAAGAACCAAAATGGGTGGAAATTTACAAATGAATTTGGATATGAAGGGACGATTGGTGTAATACAATTAAAGTGCAGTGTCCAGAAAAGACTTTTTAAAACAAATTACTCTTTTATCTGTTTTCTTATTTGTTTGACTATACCTTGCAAGTGCTTTTCTAATTCTTTAGAAGTTTTGATACTTTCGAAGGGGCTCAAATTTTGGGCTCTGCAAAGCTCTCAATAAAATATTCTAGAAAGTCCAAAACGTCCTTTCAAATCAGTTCTATTGACAGCCACACAATCAATAGCTTTCTGTTAACTACTCTCTCTGTAACACATATTACAGAAAACTTCAACTGTGATCCCAGGACACAAGAGTGGAGTGTCCTTTACAATAACTCGGAAAACATTTATGTAGAAGTACAGTTCCATCATAAATTAAAGAAGAAAAATAAAAATTATAAGTTGCCAATCCCAAATTATTGAGAAAACCTTTTTAGTTCTCCAGTGTGGACTTAAAAATTCAGACCTTCTTTGCCAAATCTAGTTATAATTGTGCTTATATGAGATTTACTAGATGTTTACATAAACTTGTAGATGGGAAAAGGAGGTTTGGACTTCAAGTTCGCATTTTAGGTCTACCATATATATAATCATTTGAGACTTACCTTTGGCTGGGACAGAACTCTAGTGATGTAATGCGAGTACCCAGGTGTAGCCTCTTACTCCAGTGGCAGATTTCCATTTT